TCACTTTATTTCCGTAGCGGGCCTCCAGGGCTGATGGGTGTTTGGCGAGTGTTAACTAATTTATAATCCTAGAGTAATTTTCATCTTGTACTACATTCGACCACCGGCAAAATCCGCTGATGAGAACATACTCTCTAATAACCATGCTGCATCTACCACAATGTGTACTCAGAGCGCAAGCCTTAAAAGCAGTTTCGTTTACTCTTTAACAGCCTTGGTGGGAGCAGTGTGAGGTTCACAGCAAAACTGAGCTCAAAGTACAGGGGGTTCCACAGACCCTCTTCACCAACACACACACCAGCTTCTCCATTATCGACACCCCCCACCCAGGCGTAGTACGGGCTGCACACTGCCCGAGTGCACACCACAAGCCGGCACTGACACCACTGCCACTCACTGTCCACGTGTACATCAGGGCTCACTCTTGGTGTGGCATATTCTGTGGGTTTGGACAAATGTGTGATGGCCTGCATTGTCCTAAAAATACCTCTTTGTTCTGACTACCCCTCCCCACACCCCCACCCCCAGCCCCTGGCAACCACTGATTTTTTTTACATCTCTGTAGTTTTCGTTCTTAGAATGTCCCGTAGTGGGGATCACGTGGTAGGCAGGCTTCTCAGATTGGCGCTTCCTGACTTAGTCACGTGCACCTGAGTTTCCTCCAAGTCCTTTCATGACGTGCTAGTGCAGATGTGTTCAGCTCACCTACAAAGGACATCGTGGCTGCTTCCGAGTCCGGGCAATTACGAATGAAGCTGCAGTGACATCCGTGTGCAGATAATTGCGTAGCCAGCCGTTTTCCCCTCATCCGAGTGAGCCCCGCGGAGCACGGCTGCTGTGGTGCCTGGTGAGAGTATGTTTACTTTTGTAAGAAACTGTTCAACTGCCCTCCAAAGTGGCTGCTCCATTTTCCACACCCACCGGCGATGAGTGAGTTCCCATTGCTCTACAGCCCTGCCGGCATTTGGGGCTGTCAGGGCCTTGGATTTTGGCCATTCTGATAGGTGTGTGATGGTGTCTCCCGGTTATCACTTGCAATTCCCTACTGACATATGCTCCGGAGTCTTCTCATGTGCTATTTGCTACTTGCATATGTTCTTTTGGGAGGTGTCTGGGAACATCTTTGGCCTATTTTTTAATTGGGCTGTTCATTTTAGTTTTGAGATAATATTTTGGATAATAGCCTTTATCAGATGTCTTTTGCAAATATTTTCTCCCAGTTTGTGGCTTGCCTTCTCATGATCTTGAGATTGTCTTTCACAGGAAGTTGTTTAATTTAATGAAGTCTAGCTTATTATTTATTTATTTCATGGAGCATGCCCATGGTGTTGAACCTAAGTCATCACCATACCCAAGGTCATCTCGGTTTTCTCCTGTGTTATGGTCTAGGAATTTATAGTTTTGTTTCGAATGTAAATACATGATCCATTTTGAGGTTTGTGTCTTTTTCTTTTTTTGTGTTTTTTTTTTGTTTTTTTTGCAGAGTATACGGTCTGTCAATATTCAGTTGTTTCTGCACCATCTGTTGAAAAGACTATCTGTTCTCCATCAAATCCTCTTTTGTCTTTTGTCAGGGATCAGCTGGCCAGATCATGTGGGTCTGTTTCTGGCTATTTCATTCCATTTATCTATTTGCCTGTTCTTTCACTGACATGACCTGCCTTGATCATGGTAGCTCGATAGCCTGGCACCACCTCAGGCAGCATCCATTCCCGTCTTGACTCAGTTCTTCTCCTTCGATGGCGTGTTGTATTCTGGGTTTTCTGTCTCTCCCTATAAACTTCAGAATCAGTGGATCCACATCCACAGAACAAGGTGCTGGGATTTCCACTGGAGTCCTTTGGATCAAGTTGACATCCTGACAATATTGCGTCTTCTCCATGAACATGGGATATCTCCCCGCTTATTCAGGTCTTTGGTTCCTTCATCATCAGAGTTGTGTGTGTTTCCTCACATAGATCCTGTAAATATTTTATCAGGTTTATATTTAAGTTTTTCATTTATGGGGTGCTAATGCAAATGGTATTTTTTTTATTTCAAATTCCACTTGTTCATTGCTGATAATATAAGAAAGCAACTGAGTTTTGTATATTAACTTTGTATCCTGCACTCTTAATAGTTACAGGAGTGTTTTTGTCAATTCTTTCAGATTTTCTATGTAGACAATCAGGTCATCTGTGAACAAAGTTTTAGATGTTCTTCTCAGTCTGTGATGTCTCTGTTACAAATACACTGATGGTTCTTTCAGATTGACTGTAAGTGCTCTCAGTGTTTGTCTAAAATTATCTTCATTTTCCTCATATTTTTACTGGGTATGTTGGGTACAGAATTCTAAGTCAACAGGTGTTTCGCAGTATTTGATATTACATCACCATTTTTCTTCTATTATTCCTGGTAGGGGTCATTCAAATTATTTTCCCACTCCAGTTAATCCCATCTCTCTATTTGACTTTTAGATCTTCTCTTTCCTTGGTGTTTTATTTCCTTTATGAAGTGAGCTGCCTGTGCTTGAACTTGACCACGACCAACTGCAGGCTTCTCAATGGCCTTGCCTGGGAGTGTGCACTCTGGAGTCAGAGAAGCTCTCCCCAGCCAGTCCCTGAGAAATCTGTCTCTCCTCTCGGTTCTCTGTTCTCACACAAGGGTTTCAGATACAAGGGTTTCCGATCAGTTATACGATCGCCATCTCATTCTAAACTCCTGTTCTCTTAAAACTATGTTTTACACTTCAACCCGTATCACATTATGGGCCATTGCCTCACCTCTATATTCCAGTTCACTAATTCTCTCCTTGGCATCACCTAATTTGTTGTTTTACTCCATCCACTGGGGATTCTTAAAATTTCCAATAGCTAAAATTATCTTCTATTCAATAGCTACCTTTTCCTATGATGTCTGTGTTAGTTATCTTTTTATTATGCTTTAATGAACATAAAACACATTTGTTGCATATTCTGTTTCAAAATTCCATTTTACTTCCTCAAGTTTGGGGGGGACTTATCTTCTGGTTTATGGTCTATGGTCACCAGCACGCAGGAGGAATATTCAGCACTAGTTACGTGTACCCTCGCAGCGGGTTTGGCTCTGGGGCATCGATGCCACGCACCCAAGATCCCTCTGGGAGCTTTCGCGAGTGCCGCTCTGCCTGAAGCATCAGACGCTCCCCAGGTGGGTCCAATGCTTACACTAACTTCTCATTCTGGATCACACAGGTACTGCAGGTTTGGATTTGCTTCACTTCCCCCCATTTCTAACATGCTTTGTCCATCTCTCAAATGTCTTTTCCAGTCTCCTCGGTGCCCAGTGCAGTTGAAGGACACCTCCCTCCCCTCCATGCCACCTGGAGGCCACAGGACACCAGCCCTGGGCTCACCCATTCCTCCACAGAGAGTCGGCTGTGCGGCTCCTATTTTTCACTTGTCCCTGGAAACTCATTTTTCCTTTTTTTTTGTGTGTGTGTGTGTTCTTTTTGGCAATTTCACCGATGAATTTTTTAAATTGATTTCAAAGAGGAAGGGAGAGGAAGAGAAAGATAGAAACATCAATGATGAGAGAGAATCATTGATTGGCTGCCTCCTGCATGCCCCCTACTGGGGATTGAGCCTGCAACCAGGGCATGTAGCCTGACCGGGAATCAAATCATGACCTGCTGGCTCATGGGTCAATGCTGAACCACTGAGCCACACCAGCCAGGCCTCCCCTGTGATTTTAAATGTAACGAATTTAGCTTCTCTGACTCCATTTCATATGATTTTAGGTCTGCATCTTGCTGGCTCCAGAACTGACACTGTGAAAGCCCTTCTAGCCAGAGCTGCCTGTGTGTCCACTTATTGTAGGGGGAGGGAAACGAACGGCTCTCCTGTGGGGCCATTAGTATTGTTTGGTGCTGTTAGTCACGCACAGTCGAAAGCAATCCTGTCGTACTCTGACTATGTAGATTGGAGGCTAAGAGATTAAAGGAAACACATTACTGTTGTCAAAGGAGCACACAGACCCCGCCCTTGCGAAAGCGGAGCACTCTGCACTGGCTTCAGCCCGAAGGGGCAGGGCCTCCGCACGGAGGGCGGACTGACGCTGAGATAATGGCTTAGAGTCTGCAAATGACCACAACGACCTCTGAAGTTCTCCTCCTGCTTTTACAAATGTCTCTACGTGTGGAGCGCGGCTGAGCTTGGACAGGTTCAAGCCTCGGACTAATGAGAGAGCACGGTCCCCTCGTGGCAAAGCCACGTGCAAGTCCCAGCTTGGAGGACAAAGCCCTCCCAGCACAATTACAGCCAAAGGCTATGGCTGTGAGCTTGACCTTATGGTCCGAACCCGTGGGCCCAGGAGGCTGAGTGATGTGGGCTTGACGGAGTTCAGGTGCATGTAACTGAGTAGATTCGAACCCCGAGAGAACATGGTGAACATCCTGACCACGCCCTTGCTTTGCCTCGTGGGATCTGACCATAAAATAAAGACCCGGCTTGCAGGCTGTGCCACTGTCTCCTCATCCAGGCACAGTGACCCACCTGGTCCGGCCATATTCTCTTGTCTGTTTTCTTTAATTCTCCACCGCCCTCCTCAGGTTTACCCTTGGCTGTGCTGGACGCGGTTCATCTACATCATCAGAAACACCATCAACCAAAAGTATTTTGATTGAATAAGAAATAGAAGAAAGACAGAAGTTGAGAGAGATATACATGTACCTTAATCATATATTCTGACCCCAGCACAAAGCACCATGTGTCCTTAGACCCCTAGCTCTTGGGGGAAAAAGATCACTATCTTCATGGCAGGACACCTTCCCCATCCCATGTTCATTCCCAACGGGAAAGCCTTCTCTGGGGCACTTACTGAATGCACCCCCTCAAGTTCACATCAAACACGCCCCTCCTGGAGACGTCACCTCCTGTGACGTAAGACCCCATCGTGAACGACATGGAGGCACGGAGACCCCTTCTCTGTGGAGACTCCACCACCCAACGCGCTCTGCTGGCCCTAAACAGTCACGTAGTTACCTGGTCTGCCCGCTGTTCGCGCAGCGCCCTCCCTGTCCTCGTGCAGAATGACGGCCAGGCCCGCGGAGTCGGTGGGGAGCACGGAGCTGCTGAAGTCCACGCGGGTCAAGCTCTCGGGCTCCCTGGCGAAGGCCCCCGCAGTGCCCCGGGGACGGTCCCGGCCGGTGGCCATCGCGGGGCCTTCTCTCCCGGGTCTCAGCACCACGTGGACGATGCTCTGCTGGCCCAGGTCGCAGCTCTGCAGGAACAGAAACACACGGACGCTAGTCTAGCATTCACATGCTGATGGGTGAAGTCGCCTGAGTTCCAGGACGGGTGCGAGACTAAACTCTGCTTCTGTGGGTGTCGGCTTGCAGTCATGGGGCATAAGGAGGGGACGTGGGACAGGCGTGTGAGGGGTAAGGTGGCACCCGTCCCTGCCAGGGGCACTGCACTCACATGTGTGCCTGTCCCAGCAGACAGGGAAATGGGGGGGGGGGGTGAATGAAACGCAACCACAGAAAACCAAAGTACTGTCCAAAGGGACATAAACTGTAGCAGACAAAGAGGCGCCCTGCACGCACGGCCAACTCAGGACAGTGAGAGGCGATGCTGCTTAAAACTGGTGACTTCAGAAGCGGCGTGCCCTTAGAAGCATCACTTCATTCACTCATTCATGTTGTTATTGATTTTTAGATAGAGAGGAAGGGAGAGACAGAAACATCAATGAATCATTGATTGGCTGCCTCCTGCACGCCCCCTACTGGGAATCCAGCCCACAACCCGGGCAGGTACCCTAACCAGGAATCCAAACCCAGACCCCTTGGTTCATGGATGATGCTCAACCCATTGAGCCACACCAGCCAGGCGGATGGCCCACTTTAAGGCTGGCTTTCATCTCCGCTTTTGGAAGCAGGGAGACCTGGTTATTATCAAGTCCAGGGCACTTTCTCTGGAATTTAAGATCAATGTGTTTATGGAGGACACCACATACATCCCAAACACATCGCCACCCCAAGGGGGACCCCAGGAGTCGAACCTGCTCCATCTGCTTTCACAGTAAAAGACGAGACTATTCACAAAGATGCTCTCTCTGTGGATATGGATGTGTATGAACAGGAGACGGTAAAATTTGGTGGAATTAAAGTTACAATTCAGATTTGCTAGGGCAGAAACTAGACTACTTTACATAAAACCATGAAACTGCAATTTCAGATCATCTACCAGACAGACACTGTCAGGCAGCTGTCTGCCCCTCCCGCCCCCCGCACCCTCCCCCCACTTCCTACAGAGCGAGGGCCTCGCTCTCCACAAACCCCAAACCCAATGTCTTCAAACTGCCTGTTGACATTCTCTCTCACTTTAGGAATGCTCAGAGAACGCTCAGGCAGAACACAATAGTTTTAAAGTAATAACTCCTGTCCCCACGCACCCCAGCCTGCACCCCCACTCTGCACTGTGAGACTTAGGGGGTGCTATCCCTCCGAGGCTTTGCTTGCTGTCTGTCTTGTCCGTTCTGGGAGGTCCTGGGGCGCTCTGGTCCTAAACACCAGGCCCACCATGGGGTTTCCCGGGCCAGAGTCTGGAGAACAAGGCTGAGAACACCCCCGCCCCCCCGAGCCCCGCCCCATTAAGACTGTGTTAAGGGGCCCTAGCTGGTTTGGCTCAGTGGATAGAGTGGATAGAGTGGGTCCCGGGTTCCATTCTGGTCAAGGGCACTTGCCCAGGTTGTGGGCTTGGTCCCCAGTAGGGGGCATGCAGGAGGCAGCTGATCAATGACTCACATTGATGTTTCTATCTCTCTCTCCTTCTCCCTTCCTCTCTGAAATCAGTTAAAAAGGAAGAAAAAAAAAGGTGTGTTAAGGTTACTTAGGAACAGGGGAGTCTTGGACGCGGAAAGACAAGGTGGATGCCAGCTGAGGAGTTACGGAGCCGGAACGCAGGAAGGAAGGCTGGGGGTGAAGGTGTGCCCACCCGGACAGGGAACCCCTCCCTGCTGCCGGCGGGGCAGGGCCTGGATTCTCAGCAAGCAGCCAGCTCTGACCCGAGGAGCTCAGGTGGCACCTGCCCCTTCCTTTCATCCTTTCCCCCCAGGCTCAAGGCCTCAGTCCCAGACCCGGTGGACACGGTCACCTCCAGGCTGTTTGTCCCCTGGGTGGTGGGTACAGTCCTAAAGCGACCCACCAATGACCTGCTTATTTAACCCCTCCCGAGGAGGGTGGGAGAGGCTGCCTAGATTATGTTAATCAACTTGATGAAAGAATTGACCATCTCATCAGGCAAATCTTGGGGTAATGGTGGACCCTTAAAAGTTTCAAGAGTTCTTCCTGGTGAAAATATTGGAATCATGAGAGGGACTGTGCGGGAAAGTGTGGACGAAAGGGGCCACATGCTGACCTGACAGGCTCAGGGAGGCCCGCATGGCGGTCTTGCAAACTCAGAGACCTAAAGTCACCACAAAGGAGGGCCTGAAATTAAACTTTAAAGCAGGTATGGTGGGCAGTTATGTCCTTGGCTGGCATCTTCACTGACAAGGTCAACCTTTACCTTAACTGAGCCTGTCTTTCTGCATCTATGATAACATACCCTTGCAATGTCTGGGAACTTTTTGTAACTTCCCCTTTTCTGGACCCCTTGGGGCACAACCTAATGTTAATTGTTCCTGCGCCCACCTAAGTATGTGTCTATCATTTTACTTTATATCCAACCCCAGGGGTTCCATCCCCCACCCCCCTTTGCTTTCTCCTGCCTCTCTAGCCTGTCATCAATGGATTTCATGTCACCCACCTACCTCCCTTTCCTTTGATTGCAATGTATATAGATGTAACCCGCCGCTCTCCGGAGCATTATCTCAATTCGTTGAGGTTCTGCTTCCCGGCATATGTTGACAATTTCGCTCAAATAAACTCACAACAATTCTTTACAGGTTTCAACGGTTAGCAAAAGGGATCTCCATGGCTGCTGTGAACATGGGGGCGGGAGGCCTGAGGGGCAGGGAGCGGCTGAGAGCCCCAGGGGCTTGGCAACAACCATCCATTGCAGGGGGGACCTCGTCCCCAGGGTGACCTTCCTCCCAGCACACCGCTGGGCAGGAGGTTTGGACCCCTGACCTTTCCTCCCTAGAGGTGACATCTCGGCCTCAGTTGTATTCCAGCTCCAGGCCCAGAGAAGCAACAGAACCAGCCCAGCAAACCACTGCTGACGTCAGGACCAGCTGCAGGGAATAATGACCCCCTGCCCTGCCCTGGTCCCGCCAATCAATCAGGGGGGACCCCAACCCTGAGAGGACACACCTGGAAAGCTGCTGCATATTCTATTGAGATCTTCCCCGGGACCTCCCCTAACCTCTTCCCCTTAGACCAGTGGTTCTCAACCTTGGCTGCACATTAGAATCTTTTTAAAATCCTGATTTCTGGGCCTCATCCTCGGGAAATTCTGTTTCTTTGTTACTAATGTTGTGGCCCCACCCCAGAACAAAGAAACAGAATTTCTGGAGGATGAGGCCCAGAAATCAGGATTTTAAAGATTCCCAGGTGATTCTAATGTGCAGCCAAGGATGAGAACCACTGCCTCAGACCCTTAGGATGGGGGACCCAGTGGCTCTCCCTCCCCCCCCCCCCCCCCAGGGACATGAACCTTAAGTCCTGGGCTCCCAAGCTCCAGGCCTTCCTCTCCCTCCACCCTCCTTCCCTCCGCCCAGTCCCTCTAGGAACCGCTTCTTCTGCCTGAGATTTCCCAGTAACGTCCTCACAGTGTGGGCCTTGGCTCTGACTTCCTTCCCAGCCGGAACCCAAGTACCGAGGGTGCTGGGCCCAGGTTTGCCCGGACCCCGTGGGTCAGACACCCGGTGCCGTGCCGCCGCCCACAACAAACCAGCGCAAGGACCACCCTCCCCATACCAGGTGGTCGCCAACCCAGGACGTCCCCAGGGTGCTGCCCTCCCAGGCCCGAGGCTGGAGGGAGAGGCCGCGGTCGGGCTGCATCGGGCACTACGGGGACTTACGGGGAGGAGCGTCTCGGCTGTGGACGTGCATGTGCTCCCGGCAGAGGCAGGAGTAGAGGGTCTGTTCTGCAGACACGGAGCCGCCATGAGCCCGCCTGGGCAGGGCCGGGCGGGACAGCCCCTGGGGCCCAGGGAGGGGCCGCAGCCCTGAGGGGAGCGGGCAGGTGTGTCTGCTCAGCCCCATCCAGCTGGCTCAGCCCAGCAGCTGCCCCCTCGGGGCGTCTCCCTCCTCCTCCCCTGCCACGTGGACCAGCTCGCTCTCCTGGCCTCCTGCCTGGGGCACTGGTTGGTGGGTCCTCCGCAGGGCCCCTCAGCCCCCCACCTGACTCCCCACTTCTGTCACAGCGCCGCCCTCCCCACCTTCCCCAGGGCCACGCCCCCTCGGATGGCCCACCTGGTTTGACTGGGACTCCTCCCTGCGGCCACGTGCAGCCAGGTGCCCCAGTGACCCATCCTGATGGGAGTCCCCCTCCCGTGTTCAGTCCTTCCCGCCCCACTGTCCCTCCCCGGCCCGCGTGCAAGAATCTCCCACCTCCGCCATCTCACCTGATGGCCCACAAGTACAAGCACCGCCCACGTGCACAAGCTCCGCCCATGTATACAAGCTCTGCCCACGTGCACAAGCTCCGCTCACGCGCACAAGCACCGCCCACGTGTACAGGAACCGCCCACGTGTACAGGAACCGCCCACGTGCACAAGCTCTGCCCACGTGCACAAGCTCCGCCCACGTGCACAAGCACCGCCCACGTGTACAGAACCTCGCAAATGCCTCGCATCACCTGCTGCACAGCCGCCCTTCCTGACCAGCGGCCTCCGTCTCTTTCCTCGCCCTCACGTGCACGCGGACCACAGGGCCCTCCACAAGCGTGTGCTTTCTCTCCCGCCTGCCTTGGCTAGGTCAGCACCTGTGACTGAACGGGGGCCTTAAAGTGAACTTGCGCCACTGCCCGCCTTCCAAAGAGCACCGGGCGCGGCTGGTGTGGTTCAGTGGTTGGGCAACGGCCCATAAGCCAGGAGGTCCTGGTCAGGGCACATGCCCGGCTTGGTCTCCACTGGGAGGCATGCAGGATGATGTTCCTCTCTCATCATTGATGTCTCTATCTCTCTCTCCCTCTCCCTCTAAAAATCCCTGCCTCTCTCTTTAAAAATCAATAAAAAACATTTAAAAAAGAGCAGCCCAGCTGGTCTCCGCCTCCTCAGCCTGGGCCCGGCCCTGCGCACAGAACAGCCCTGAGCCCAGACACCGGTGGACCGT